ACTCCATAGTCGCGATACAGCCCCAGCCAGCGGCTGCGAGGCAGCCAACGCCTCGGCCAGGATGTGTGCAAGACTTGGCTTTGAAGCGGATCCAGAGCGGTGAGGAGGATGTTGATCTCTGGAGCAGTCGCAAGAGTTCAAGCTCTCTTATTGAGCAGGGGAGGAACGGGAGTACCTGCTCCGGCAGAGCTGGCCCCTTGCTAGCAGGCAGCGAGGGGCTGCTCTCCTGAAGGTTTTGCCCGTTTAACATGAGGTGGCGTGGCAGCACGGTGTCCGCAGTCTGGATGCTTGCCACTTCACTGGGATGCCTCAGAAAGCAGAGAGGGAAGGGATGTACACAGATTTGCCAGGACTATCTGGCTATCTCCCTTCTGATCCCTGATCCACAGCTGGGATGTGCTCCAAGAAGCTGAGACAGCACTGAGCAACTGCTGTACTGAAATCAGGGCTTCAGAGGATTTGATTTCTCCCCTCGAGGTGATTCATCACAAACCTGCTGGTTTTCAAATGGGAGTTGCACTCCCATCACAGAGAAGACCAGCCTAAGATTGACTAGGGTCCACATGCAACCCAGACCTGCTGCGGTAACCAGCACACGTGCACAGCTACGCAGGGTTTGGAGATCACACAGTTGGAGCCCAAGACCTGCTGAGATGTTTGCAGGGGTATAGGGAGGAAGAATTAGTTTCATTAACATGCACAATTCAGAGCACTACAGAGGTGTGAGAGGAGAAAATAAAGTGCTTCACACCACTAGTGCTTTGCAGACAACAAAGCCATAAAAAAACCCACCTGGTTATCAGACATATATTATATATCAGATAATATATTGGCATATAACAATAGTGCCAAAAGGTTGCAGAATGACATGGTTAACCTCCAGCCCCTAAACCTTGGCTTGTAAATAACAAACACAGATTTGCCTCATCTCCTCATTGTCCTGCAGCCAGGAGGAAGCTGGAGCTGCAGCACTGGGACACCAACAATGCAGACTACCTGCTGCCAGGGGAGAAGAGCTGGAGGGCAACTTCTCCACCTGGGCAGCAAACACAAGCACAGCAGGACGAGATCAGCTGGAGATGGGACTTCATGGGTGGCAACACCATGACTCGGTGGAAACTCCCTTTATTGCAAGGTGAGCAAGCACCTCCCTTGCTTATACGCAAAACATCCTGGAGGTGTGATGCACACATGGCAATATTTATTGTTTAAAAACCCCCATATGGTCAAGTGCCAGCAGCTGACTCTTCTTGCAAGCACATCATTCTGTGCAGAGGGACATGACAGCTTGGAGAATAAATACCTGGGCCTGGACACTGCAGAGGCGGCTGCTGAGATCCTGTCTGCCTGAGGGTGAACTAGTGCAGCGATTTTCCAGCAAAGATCACAGCCCAGGTCCAGTGCAGATCTGCCTCATCAGTGTAGTCTTATCCACTTTCCATCTCCATGCATTACAGCTACACCCATCCCCATGCAGGATCCAGCACTGGGGGATGTTGCACACACACCCCCCAACCCCAGCCCAACTTCCTTGCTCCTCTGATCATGCCACCAGTGACAGCATCTCATCTTCACACACCACTGAACCACAGGCTGGCTATGAAGGGCAGGGACACAGAGTCTGAACTGGAACAGACTCTGATGCTCAGATTAAAAACACATTTAGAAGATGGTCTCATCAGGACTTCCCGTCTCTCCTTAACCTTGATCCCCAGATGCTCAAGCTAATAATGCTTCAGATGCTCTACGGTGGGAAACTCTGAATTGCTCATTAGGCAGCCAAACCACATCAGAGCTATTCCGGGGAGAAAGCACTGGGAATCTTTACAGGAACCTTTGGACTCCGAGTCACAGTATTAGCATTGATTTTAAATGAAATAATGGTCCCCACTGAGCATTAAAAGCATTCTTTATAGAAAGCCAGCAAGGTAGAAAAGAGCCATTGTACCCAGAGCTCTGGCATGCCTCCAGGCCCCTTTGCTCTCAAGTGAATGGCAGAGCTGCTAATAAAGGCAATCTTCACCTCCTCAGCACTCGACACTAGCCCCGTGTTTGCTGTAGGCTCAGTGAGACACCATGTACTGTCTAATGAACATGGGAAATTAGCCATGCCTCTCTCATCCTGCTTCAAGATGCTATTAAAGAGCTTTCAAGGGTTGAACCAAGCTTTCACCTAAGAGGAGGAGAGCTGCCGGCTGTGTACAGCTGCACGCACCGAGTGCTGGGTGCTGGTCCCTTACCTTCCTTGTCACCAACAGCGGGGCTCCTGCTCTTTCCCCTGGGACTGCTGCTTGGCTGCTGCTGCTCCTTCTCAGCCTGCTGCTGCTGGGACTGGGAGAGCTTGCCTGGGGGTATGTCTTCACGGGCAGATTCGTGGGCTTTTGTGATCTGCTGCTGGTAGAGGGCCAAGGCATGGGGAGGCACCTGAGGCTTCACACTTCCACTCTGCAGTATCCCCTCCGAGAAACCCTCGGAAATCTGCAAAGCAATACGAATTGGTGACACTTGGCATGTGCTGCTGATATCCGTAACAGTCTTGGAGACATCAAGGTGTTACGAGAAGCACCTGCCCCACACTACCACTGCAAGTCTTACCAGCTCAAACAGGGCTCCAAAGCTCACCAGCCATCACAAAGAGTATCAGTCCTGTGCTGGTGGTGCTACAGGAGAGCCTCACACTTACCATGTTTCAAACCTCTAATCTATAGTTAAGTGCTTGTAGCTTTTGCCAGATGCTACATTACAGCAGCCACATCTTAAAGCTGT